TCCAGCTTTTGGCATGCTTGAATCCTGCATGTGGCTGAGTCATTATCCAGCAGCCTGCCATGTTGCCTGCCAATCTCGGGACTGTTAATGGGACTTGAATCAATGGTCTGCCATGTAGTTTGGTAATATCGGGACTGTGTCATCTTGTTGCCCTTGGCTTGTTAGCTTCAGCAGCCAGCAGCTGCCTGAGTGAAGAGACGCCTCTAGCTTCAGTGGGCTGGGAGCAAGATGCAGAGCTGAAGTCCAAGGTCAAGGGGCTTTCACCTAGCCCCTAGAGCCTGGCACTTTGAATTCGGACTACTAGCCTCCCAAACTGTAAGAGAACAAACTCCTGTTTGTTACAGCCATTTCATTTGTCATTTATTTCTGTCAGAGCAGCACTTATAACCAAAACAATCACTACCTGAGATAGAAGCAGTGATTGAGGGACAGAGTGGTTTTGTGAAAGTGAAGGCATTATCATAGAGGTTGCACAACAGCATCTATTAGGATGACAGACGAGTTCTCATCCTTCTCCTCCAAGGCAGTCTTCCCAGGTGACCTCACTGGAATAATTCTGGGCACCATCTGGGAGGAAGGTAGAATTAGGACCTGAACAATAGAATAAAGGTGGCCATGGAAACACTCAGGATGAGGATCCCAGGAAACCTTTTTCTAACTATAATCTATTCTCTAGATTCTAGAGGAAGTTCCTGCTGGTGCACAAGGTTAAGCATTTGACTATTAGCTGAAAAGTCGGTGGTTTGTGCCACCTCAGAAGACAGGCTTGGCTATCTGTTTCCAAAAGGTCACATCCTTGAAAACCCTATGAAGCAATTTTACTCTGCACATATGGGTTGCCATGAGGCAGAATTGGCTTGATGGCAACTACCAACAACAAAAAATAGACTCTGAAGCAGAAGGACAGGTGGAGGCAAGTTCTGTTAAGGGGGTGAGAAGGGGAGGCATTGTGGAAGGGTGACACTGAGTCACTGTGTCTCCCACCCTTGTTCCCCCATCTCCTCCAAAACAAGGCTGCAAAAGGTGTAGCAGGATTTTCTGATGATTTTCCTCAAGATGCAGCTGCCACTAAATTTTCTTTCCAAGTTCAGTACTTAGTTCTTTTCTTTATAGTCATTCCCTTGGTAATCTCAACGTGTCTCAGGGTTTTAACCACAAGCTATGTTCTGATAGCTCCTACATGTGTCTCCAGTCTGGGCCTCTCAAACTTCAGGCTCTTGACCATCTGTGGTCTATTGTCCAAGGAGCTCTGGTGGTGCAGTGCCTACGGCATTTGAATGCTAACCAGAAGATTGGTGGTTCAAACCCACCAGATTCTCCGCAGAAGGAAAATGGGGCAATCTATTCCCATAAAGATTTACCACCTCAGAAAACCAATGGGGGGTCACTGTGAGTTGGAATCAACTCCCTGGCAGTGAGTTTGTTTTTTTGTTTTTGGTCTATTGTCCACCTGACAGTCAGAGTGATTATTTTTAAACTTAAGTCAAATCATTTCAGGCTTCTGCTCAAAAATCTTCCCTTAGCTTTCCATCTCACTTGAAGGAAAAGCCAAAATTCTAAGAGAGGTCTATAAGACCCTATGTGATCTGGCTCATGGGTACTTCTTGGGTCATCTCCCACCACTTTTCCTTCCGTCTCATCCCTTGCTCTCTGCTCCAATCACAGTGGTCTCCTTGGTCTTCCTCAAACCCACCAAACAAGTTCCTACCTCAAGGCCTTTGCACTGGATAGTTTCCTCTGCTTGAGACTTTCTTCCTTCAGATATTTGCATAGTTCAGTCCCTCACTTCTTTCAGGTTACAACTCAAATGTCCACTTTTCAGAGAGGACATCACTGACCACTTTATATAACAGTATTACTGACCCCCTCCCATCCATCCTTAACCTGTTCACCTGGACTTATTTTTTATTCCGAGCACTTACTGCTACTGATTTAGCCATGATAGACTAAATCAAGCTGTGTTAACAAATCTTAAACAAGTAGTTTATAATAATAAAAGTTTATCCAATGATATACTAGAGTCAGCTTGCACTGGATTAAGAGAGCGAATTGTTGTATTTTAAGGAAATTTGGAAGTCAAGTATTAGGCACAGTCTTTATTAAAAATGAAATGATATAAACTTACAATTAAATAGAGAATATTAATAGCAAAGAAAATAGATGTTCAAAATGCATCACTTACTTTACTATTACCTATGCATTTGAGGTTATTTATGTATACTGTATTTAGTAAGAATATTATGTAATTCTGTGTTGCTATGAATCTCTGAAGGGGTCCTAGTGCTGTAATGGTTCAGTGCATGGCTGCTAACCAAAAGGTTGGTGGTTTGAACCCACTAGAAACTCTGCAGGAGAAAAGACCTAGTGATCTACTCCCATAAGAATTTTAGCCTAGAAAATCCTATGGTGCAATTTTACTTTGCATTGTAGGGTAGCTCTGAGCTATAATTGACTCAACAGCACCCAATAACAGCATGCGTCTCTACCTAACTCCTCACTTAGTGACAACACATTGGAATCAGCCATACTGGGAGTATTCACACTCTACTGAAATAAGTAAATACTATAGATTAAGGGTTGATTGCTTTTTCTGGCTCTTGCCTAGACTTAAGAACTCAAAAAAAAAAAAAAAAAAACCCCACAAACTTACTGCCATTGAGTCGATTCCAACTCCTAGAGACCCCTTTGGGTTTCCAAAGCGATAAATCTTTATGGAAGTAGATTGCCCAGTCTTCCTTCCATACAGTGGCTGGTGGGTTTGAACTGCCAACCTTCTGGTTAGTAGTCAAATGCCTTAGGCATTATGCCACCAGAGCTCCTTAGAGTTAAGAAAGAAAGTGATGGGGAAATTATTAATGATGCAGATTAAGTTTTAAACTGTGCAATGCCCACAGTCATTACATTGTGAGTAACACAGAAAAATTGAGGCTTTTTTCTTTTAGTATACAAAAACTTCTACCTGATTCAGTAAAGCAGTAGTCATTCACACCATGAATAATGGGAGAAGTTCTGGAATACATTTTCATTGTTTCACTTTCATCTTATTCTTTAACATAAATGAATGTATCAACCAACCAACATGCATGTTGGAGCTACCCTCATTCAACTGTAACCATAGGTTGATTATGAATATCAGTTTGGCAGAAATGAATCAAAACATTCTGAATCAATTAGATATATAGAACTTCAATATCTTGTACAGTATATTATTTGTGTTACATCCTTTGTATCAGTAAAGTTTGTAACACACACACACACACACACTCCCTACTTCCTTCCATCCAGCCCACCACAAGGTTTATTCCTCATACACTGCATGTCCATCATGGGTCTTCTGGGGACTCTGGTCACAATCCCTCAGTCTGGGCCCAGGTTGATGGCATGTCCACCATCTGGAGCATTGCTGATTATTGTGTTTGGGGAAGGGGACTATGGCAAGACATACACTGGCTATCAAATGCTCTGCCTAGATATGATATACATAACTTCTGCTCATCTCCCATTGACTGGAATGAATCACATGACCATGCCTATCTTCCAATGGGCAGAGAAGTATAATCCTACCATGTTCCTGGAAGAAGGAAAAGGAGAACCACAATACATGTGAATGGCCAAGGACCACCTTAGCATATCAGGTATTGATGTGTTTACTGACTGCCCCAACTCCATATTGAATGTAAGTTCCATGAGGACTGTTTCATTCACTGCTATATCACCATTGCACTTAATGAGATGCTCAATATTTACTGAATGAATCTGAGAGGATTCCGGAGTAGAAAGGTTCTGGAAGCATGCCCTCTGGATCAACGGAGAGGTTATCTTTTCATGTTCCCTTTAAATCTTAATAAGTAATGTATTTTGGCTGCTAACCAAAAGGTCAGTGGTTCAAACCCACCAGTCAGTCACTTTGTGGATGAAAGATGAAGCAGTCAGCTTCCATATAGATTTACAGACTTAGAAACCCTATAGGGGTTGCTGTGTGTTGGAAATGACTTGATGGAAATGAGTTTGGTTTTTTGGAGACCTAGCCCTGAGACCAGCTCTTCTCTGGGAACTCGATTTCATATAATAGACAGCTCCCACTCTAGTGGCTGCTTCTTCCAGATAGATCCACAGTATCATAGGCAAGAAAAATTTTGAGCTGATACAAAATTTTCTTCACTCTTTCTCTAATTCAGAGACTTTAATAAAGCTCCATGAGTTGACTCAGTGCTCTATATGCTGAGAAGTATGGCAATAATAGAAGGGAGGTAACATTTATTCTAGAATAAGCCTCATCTGCCTGCCTCACTGTTGGACACCTAAAGTTCACGTGTTGCCTGTTATTCCAATTGGGTCTGAACAGTCTCACATACCTGGTATTCCAACAGCAATAACTACCATTTGTATAGTACCTACTATATTCCAAGAAGGTACTACATTAAGCCATCACATATACCGTTTCATTCATTAGCCAATATCTCAACTCTGTAAGCTAGGTATTTCCTGTTCATCAAAAGAGGAAACTATCTCAGGACAATTAAGCAACTTTCCTAATGTTAGTCAAAAGTGACAGAACCAGGATTTGAGTGAAATCTTTCTGAATCTGATGCCTGACCCTTCTAAACTAGGACTTCTCTATTAAGCAGTAAAGAAAAAATTAGAAGTCGTTGTTCAGGCAACATGAAGGCAAGACCCTAGGTTTAAATGACCTTGCTCTGCAATGGAGTCACTGAGTGGGACAAATGGTTAACGTGCTTGGCTGCTAACCAAAAGGTTGGCGGTTCTAGTCTACCCAGAAGTGCCTTGGAAGAAAGGAAGACCTAGTGTTCTACTTCCAAATAATCAGCAGTGGGAAAGCCTATAATGCACAGTTCTACTCTGGCACACATGGGGTCACCATGAGTTGGGGATGACTCAGTGGCGACTGGTAGCTGGTGCTCAGCACAACCACAGGAACCTGCACAATTGATTCCCTTAACATTCTCTCATGAATCAAAAGAAATCCCAGTTTGACCATACTTTTTTCTTTCAATTTTTATTGAACACAAGTATTCTGACAGAATGCAAAGTCAAAATTCTCAGTTAGTACTCAGTATTTACACCAGTGAGAATGGAAACAAAGGTGGTCTCGATGTTTCACTTGGTAAAAAGTATTATAACAAGAGAGAAGGCCCCCGAAGTAGGGAATGCTGGGTAGGGATGTTAATGGAGGTCTGAAAACCACCATCAGACAGACAGCGTAGAGTGAAAACCTGGGATTTGGAAGGCTCCATAGAAAAGTGTGAAAATAGAGATCCACGTCAAAAGCTGCACTATGTACACTACGGCCCTTCAGGATTGGGAGACCCCACACGTGGCGTTTGAGTGCCCCTCCAGCAGAACCTAGCTGTGCCGGTATTTATGTGAATACACATGTATGGCACATACACATATAGACACATAGAGACATTGGAAACTGGTGGAGTTGATCCCACGTCCAAAAACTAAAAAATGAAAATTGTTAAGCGTTTATTTCTTAACATAATAGAACATCTTGGAAATAAAATGGCTCCCTCTTGAACTGTAGAGAAAGCATTGCTCTTTGTTTTACTGAAAATAAAGGAAAGCTCTAGCATGCTGAGGCAGACCTATATTGTGTTATGGGAGAGGGGCAGACCAAAACGTGGGCGGTCTTCAGTTCCAGCTAATGATGGAGCCAGGATTCGGGGGTGGGGGGGCAGTGTCAGCTACCTTGGGCCGGGTTATCTGAGGGAGGGATGACTATACCTTGCTTGGTCTCTTCTTAACCATCAGAACCAAAATTAGTTTGCCTAATCACAACCACTGCGAATGAAATTTTTAGTCTTGGTGAGATATAATGTGGGTTTGGCTTCATTGGCCAAAGCCCTTAACATGCCAAGGTGAGGAATAGACCCTACTGAACAATCTGGTGACTAGAAGGGCCACCGCTCCTGCTGGGCCCTCCCCATCTCAGACATCCAAGCTCGCCCAGTCTGCTGTGTGCTCTAACAACCCTCCTTGGTTTCCTTTCTTCCTGAAGGACTGTGCATTTGAACCATAGATGTATACAAGCCCTAGAATCAAGAGGCCATGGCTGTGTAGGCTGGCATCCTCCATTTCCATCCCCAGGAGCTGAGAAAATGCAAAATAACCCCACATTTAGCAAATGACAAGACCATAATTTTTCACAGTTTGAAATGATAATCTAGCATCGCCACTGATCAGACTGCAGAATCGTCAGAACATTGGAGCTTGTGGCCCAGAGAATAAGGAACTCAGAGGCAGTCTTGCCACTCTAACCTCTCGCTGTTTTGTACTTTAGAAAAGGAACGCATGCCAGAGTACTGATTTCTGTTCACCTTCATCAGCATAATCATTTTTATTTCATTTTCTTTGTTTAAAGGCTTCAATTCCTTTTAAGAGTGTACTTTTTCCTGAATATTTTTTTTTTCTGAACTATCTGCTATACCTTCCACAACCAAACTATGTTGAAGTTTTATTTCAATACTATGACAAAAACACGTTTCACACTAAAATATTCACGCATCCACAGTGCACAAGCTTGCAGTTCTAAAGTAGAATGAGAAAAAAAGCAAAATTTCTATACAAAGGGCTGGCTTTTCCCTTCTCCCCCCCCCATCCCCCTTAAAGTTTCTGTTTTTTTTTTTTTTTTCCTCCCCCCCACTTGGTTTCCAATCCAGGAAAGTTGTATTATGACTCAAGACAGCAGGTTGTTATTATTTTTTTTCTTTTGTTTCTACACATGCTGCCTAAGCGAACAGAAGGCCGATGTTACTTTACTTCAACAGATTTCCAAAAAAAGACACTAATTCCCTGAAGCACACGTGCTCTTTCACTTAAATCTAGATTCTGGGCTCAAAAGGAAATTGTATGTATATATTTTATTTGGCTTTCTACAAAAAAGGGGATGTTTGGGGTAAAACATGTGTGTTCACCAAGACCAGCCCCAACTATACAATCTTCTCTGCTTCATTCAACAAAGCCTCGTGAGTCCTTCAGAAGGAAGGGCGAGCACACCTGGGGAGCAGGTCCTTTGTCACAGACGCAGGCAGGTGGTGGTTAATCAGAAAGTGGTCTAACCCCCAACGGAAAATCAAAAGAACTGAAAACCAAGGAGCAAAACCATTTTAGAATGAGATACCTGAGCTGGACCCAGGTAAAAATTTCAAATCAGAATGGGGGAAGAGCCACTGTAAACAATCATATTTCATAAAGGTGTCCTGTGCTAAAGCAAGGTGGTGAGGATTCTACTCACCTCTAGGTGGTATTTGTTATTTAAAAAAAAAAAAAAAAAAAAAGGCAGCTATTTTACATGGACATTTAAACACAATCAAAGTTAACATCTGTCAATCTGTAAACACTGGAAAAGAAAGCAACAGAAAGGGGGGGGGCAAAAAAAAAAGAAGGCTGAGAAAGAAAAAGAAGTCCAAATACTGCAAATCGAAATCTATCCCCAGAAGCTGCAATGTGGCATCCTTCCTACAAAACAAGAGTCTACGTGGGAATTGAATTCAGCTAGAAAGGGTGACACACTTTGCACACTGAACAAATACAAAGTGAACAGAAATTATAACTTATTTATGAGGTTTTACAGAGTTCAAACTCGACTGAAAGTATAAAAATAAACTGTGGACTTTGTTCATTCGGTTTGTCTTAGTGCCTGGAAGTAATTCTCTGAAACTGGTCAGTGCCAATTGGGTAAACCAAGTGCATTTGTCTTGAACCTAGATTTATTCTGAGCTTCCTAGATTCTTAATTTAGGGTCCTTTTGTTTGGTTTCTAAATGGTTTCAGGGAACGGCGTGTCCTAGTTTGGCTGTGGGTTTAACATTTTTATCTCATTTTCTTACAAGTGAGTGTGCAACAAAGGAATCCTTTCTATAAATCTACAAAAAGGAGATCCAATGTTTATCTGTTATTTTTCTTTTAAAGGCAAAAGACACTAGAGGAATGAGATGTATGCATGTGTGTGTGTGTGTGTTGTGTGTGTGTGCACGCATGCGTGCGTGGGTGGTATTGGAAATGCTCTGGTGAAGTTGTTGTGTCACTCTTTATTTTGATCTTTGCTCGCTGCTCATCACCCATCATGCTTTGCTCTCGTTCTCCTTTGTCTGTGTGGCATCGTTGGGGACCATCTTGACTTCAGCTGGTGGCGCTGGCTTCGTTTCTGTCTCCTGGCATTCCGTCTTTGCTTCTACAGGGCCCTTCCTGTAGAGAATTGGGAAAAGAGCACCACTGAACCCATGTCTTGCAGCCAACTCACCCCTTCAGCCAGCCCTCAGGAGAGGCTCCAGTTAGAGCACTGGTCTCCAACCTCAGCTGCTCGCCAGTATCACCTGGATACTCTGAAAATCACTACTGCCTGGGTCCTGCACCCAGAGCTTCCGACTTCATTGGTCTGGGCATGGTGACTCTTAGAAGCACCAGAGGGTTCGAATGTGCAGCCAAGGGGGCTCTGTCTTTGTTTGGGGTAGTGGAATGGGGTAGTGGATGTAGCCTTTTCTTACTCTGATCAGCTGAAGCAGCAGCAGCTCAGCTTGATATAAAGGAGACATCCTAGGCTGACTCCATAGTACTGGCCCCTCTACAAACAACTTGCTCTTGCCTGGACCTCCCCTGCCCCATGCTCTGGGTTTTATGATGACGTTTCTTTGGTTTGCCTGGGTAGGATGAGAACATGTTCTTTTAAACTCAGGCAGCTTTCCAGGGGAGTCTGGTGAAAGGCCAGAGTGGGCTGTTTTGCTATGAGAAAGGACGGCATAGGAGGCTGAGGGAGGCTCAGTGGACAGGGCTGTTGGAGCCCTTTTACTTCCCAATGGTGAAATCAGAGCCTCTTGGTAAGACTCTGCTTGTAGCTCTGGGTGGCAGCTTATCTGGGGGAATCACAGGTGCCTTTTAAAAAATCTAGGTCTGCTTCCTGCCTCCATCAGTACCAGGAACAGGAGCCAGGTCTAAGGCTGCACCTGGGGCAGGTACAGAGCCTGCCTGAGCAGGTGTTATTGCATTTTGGCATGATGTTTAAGAAACCTACAAGGTTAAGGGCCTTCTCTTGAACTTAGAGACTCAGCAGCCACTTGGTGCGTGGGAGCCCTGTGTCTTCCAGCCTCTCTAAGAGCAGGAGAAGCAAGAAGGGGAGTGGGTTGTGGGCATCTCGGCCAGAGTGTGATGGAGTTGCTGTACTGAATCCTCTCGAAACACAGGCTCAAAGGCCTCCCTCTTTTCTTCCTGCCTTTCTGGTGGCGACTCAGTCTGGGACTGGCTAACACATGACTGCCAGCTCCAGGGTGGCTGATAAGGGCATCGTGGCCTCCTTAGCTGGCTTCCCAAGTTATGTTCATCAGTGCCCCTGCTGCCAGGTTCCCCCCAGGGAAAACAGAAGCTACTGCTAGGACGATAAGGATAAAGCATAATTAACATGGCCTAATTAGTGAGCAAGAGGCTGCCCCCCAGCCCAGCTGCCTGGCCCTACTCTGCCTTCTCCCAGCTCCTTGGTTGACAGTTGCCTCAGAGACGCCCTGGCTTAGTCTGAAGACACATCTAACAAGGAAGACATAGCACAGCACAAACGCACACCACCACAGGACACAACCCGACGACAGCAGACAGAGAGAAGCCGTACTCGGTCTTTGCTGGTGCAGGCGAGACAGAGCTGTCTGCAGTGGAAGGAGCAAGCTCAGGGGCTTGTCCACTGGCCCCGGCGGCGGGAGCAGGAGAGCCCAGGGCTGCAAAAACATCCTTTGCAAGGTCAATATCTGGGGTCTTGAAGTTCCCTTCGTCCATTTTAAAGTCCTCGCCTTGGGAAGGGTTTGTGGCGCTGACGGAGGCAGCCTCACTCTTCGGGCTAGCGAGGGCTGCCTCGGCCGGGCTCTTCGCGCGGCCAGGCTGGGTGGGCTCCGGGTCCGCGCCTTTGGTGCTGGGAGCCTCCTGCTTGGCTTGGGGGGCTTCTGTGGCAGTGGCAGCTGCTGCTGCTAGGGGACTAGCTGCCCCAGCTGGGGTAGGAGCTGGGCTGGAGGCTGGCTTGCTCACAGGAGGGGCCTTGGGGGCCTCACCCACACTGGCAGGGGCACTTGGGCTAAGGACAGCCCCCTGGTTGGCCAGGACACTAGAAGATAGATTGCTAGTGGCGGGGGCTGAGGTTGGGGTGTCGCTCAGGTCAACGAGAGGGGCGACCTTAGGGGCTGAAGCTGGGGGTGGGGAGGAGGCCGAGACACCAGGCCCCTTGGAGGGGCTGGCCTGGCCAGCCGGCACAGAGTTTGAGTCAGGCACGGCCGTGGCCTGGGGGGCAATACTGGAGGTGAGGGTGGTGGTCTCACTGGTGGGGCTATTCTGAGCAGTGGCAAAGGTTTCGGTGATAGTGTCAGAGTTAGTAGTGACGGTGGTGACAGAAGGCAGCATGTCCTCGACAGTGGCTGTAGTGTCAGCAGGCAGCCTGTGGGGAGGATAGGAAGTAGAGAGAATAGACAATGAAGCCGAGACGTGACAGAGAAGCAGGGGGTAAAGGGTGGAAGCCAAGGAGAGGGGCTGTGGGGTGGGGCATGCAGTTTCGCGCACACACGGACACAGGCCCACAGAGAGAAGGGGATGCAGAGAGGAAGCACGTGCCCAGATGAGCAGAAGAGGACACAGCAGACGACAGAGATACATGGAATCTACAAGGGACCTGCAGACCTCCTTCCCTGCTGACAGTCCTCCAGCACTCCACACAGGGCTCCCTCTCCCTAATAGACCTGTCCCAAACATCCACTCAGGGAGAGGAGCCTTCAGTTCATTGTCCGCCCACCGAAGGCTCCATAGGTTCTGGAGTAGCTGGGCCCAGCTGCCCTGCAGAGCTCCGTAGGCAATGATGGGAAGGTTGGGAATAATGTAAAGGATGAGACCCTAAATGGTCCCTAAGGGACGTGGGATATTACAGTCACAGATTCTGTGGTTCCATTAAATTTCACTCCCTTCAAACCCACTGTACCCAGGATGGCCAGGCAGGCAGCGTAGTGTAGCTGGTCAGAGTCTCTGAGGACCTCTGAGGCTTCAGAAAACAGGAAGGCCAGGGAACTTTATCATATGTCCAACTTCCCTTGCCTTTTGGGAAAGAAAACAGAAAACTCTGAAACTCTAGGAAGTCCTAAGCAGAATCTCCTAAGCTTCTCAAAATGTCAGTCTCTGTCAATGAGGTGTCATCTTCTTGTGCACTGCTAGGATGTGTATGTAATGTGGGAACAGGGCCTAGGATCCCCATTTATCCAAAGAGCCTCTTAAGGACCCCTGCCTCCATAGCCATCCCCAATATAACTGAGAATGCCTTCTCTCTAAGGAGAGAATGAGGCCAGGCATTTGTTGGCCAAGTGGGTCTTCTGACCAAGGGCTCCAGAATTCTGGCCTGCAATGGTGGGCCAGGAGTTGTGGGTGGGAAGCATGGGAAGTATGGGTAGGTTGGATGAGGCGGGGGGTCTACCGAAGAGGTGCAGGCCCCACCCGCCCACGTACTCGGGCTCAGTCAGTGGCGTGGTCTCATTGGGCTCTGTATGTTTCCCTCCATCATGGTTTGGGGTCCGTTCCTCCTCAGTTCGCACCTCCACAATGGGCTCCTTGGACTCATCTTTCCTGTGGAGAGAGTTCTACTTGTTAGAACCCCAGCTACAGATCAGGGTACAAGGCTTAGCCCAAGGGCTGGCAGGTGGGCTTGCTCAGGCAGCCAGAGGGGCTTAGGCTTGGTACAGGGAGGGGGGTGGGCACTCCAGAGCCAGACACAAGTATCCAAGTCTCAGCACCGACCCTTGCTGGGTGTGTGCTCTTGAGCATTTGATTTAATTACACTTTGTCTCAGTTTCTTCATCTGTGTAACGTGGCAAATGATACCCCCCTTAATGCTGTTAGATAGATAGAGATAAATATTGATTTGGGTGAGGAGAAGGGCAATGTACCAAATGTGAGTGACCAATATGGCAGCATTGAGGATGAGAAAGACATAGAGAGAGTTACATGGGCAGTACAGACAACAAATATGAACCCTTTTGCATATACAGTACTGAGTTGTCAGTGAAAGCAAACATGGGTATAGGGATGGATAGATAGGTGAACAAGCTAAACAATTAGGTATGTCTAAATGGAGAGTGTATCCAAGATCATATATAGGGTTGGCAGACAATGGTCCTGTAAGTTCATGTGAATGATCAGAATTCCCAGGTGTATAGTAGAGCTGACAAGGGGCAAGGTTATGGTCATTGCTTGGTCACAGCCAGCTACCCAGAGGGACCGAGTAGTTGATCCTGAGGGCTTGGGACCATAGTCGCAGGGGACATCAAGCTCAATTGGCATAACATACTATACAAAACATTGTTCCACCTACTACTTTGGCGAGTAGCAACTGGGACCTTAAAAGCTAGGAAGCTGCCATCTAGATGCAACAACGGGTCTCTCCTCGTCAAGAAGAAAGAAGAAAACCAAAATTAATGGAAACAATCAGTCCTAGCGACTGGTACACCATCCGATCTGCAACCTATATAACTATGAGACCAGAAGAACTAGATGGTGCCCAGCTACCACTGTCATCCACTTGGAAGGGATGTAGGAGATCCTGCATAAAGAGGGAGAACAATGTGGAACAAAACTCAAAATCATTTGGAGGCAAAAAAAAAGAAGAAGGTGGGGACTAGGTTTGCTGGTCCAATAGAGCCTGGTGAAACCACTGAGACTATGGCCCCTAGCTGTCCTTCAGGTCTGGAATTGAACCCACAACTGTGGTTTCCAGCCAAACAAAGTACAGGCATGTGAGTTAAACATTTACCTCAAGTAGACACATGCCCTGGAGAGAACAATCATGGGAGAAGGAAGGGCTGCTTATGCACAGGGAGATAGCTCAGGGTGCAGAAGAGTATGAAGGGATGGACACTGGGAGGAGGTAACTATGGGGAGGAAGTGGGAGGGGAGCTGCTGCATTGTAAATTTTGGTCAATGACATGAGACAAAGTATATGTGAACTGCTGTATGAAAAGTGAATTTACTCTGTAAATCTTCACCCAAATCCTAATTAAAAAAAAAAAAAATACCCCCCTTGCCCAGTTGTTAGAGGATTAAATGAGATAACGTATGCAAAGTGCTCAGCACAGTATCTAGCACAGATAAAGATTCAAACAATCCACACGCATGTGTCTATATATGCACATGCAAGTATGATTGTGTACATATATGTACATGTGTGATGGTTAATTTGGCATCAACTGGCTAGGCTCTGGTGCCTAGTTATTCGGTCAAACTCTACTCTAGATGTTGCTTTGAAGGTATTTTGTTGATGTGATTAACATTTACAATCAGTCAACTCTAAGTAAAGCACAGTACTCTCCATGATGTGGAGGGAGGGGCTCATCCAATCATTGCAGGTCTGAAGAGCAAAAACTGGGTTTTCCAAGGAAGAAATCCTGCCTCAAGACTCTAATATAGATAACCTGTCGGAGTTTTTAGCTTGCTGCTTGATCTATGGACTTAGACTTCCCAGTCCCCATAATCCTTTGAGCTAATTCATTAAAATAATCTCTTGACAGATAGATATATATAGGTCCTATTGGTCTGTTTCTCTGGAGAACCCCACTATAGTATGTATCTGTAGTGCCTAGCATGTGGAAGTAAATAACTTATTTCCTTATTCAGACCCCTTCCAAGTCTGCTGCAACTCAGCCCCACCCAATGACAATCTGGGAAGTCTCCTGCTGACTGGCTCAGGATCTGTGTCTCCACAGATGTTGGAGAGTTCAGCATCTGATCTTCAGTTCCATGAGAACAGGCGTTTTTCAATTTTTTGTCTGTTTTACTGTTTTACCTTAGGGCCTGGGGGCAATGTCATCTTGACCACAGTAGATGCTTGATAAACAGCTGCTGAATGAATGAGTGTGTTCCTTAAATGTTGGCTCCCTCATTCCACCTCCTTCCCAGGGTCAGCTAGGACAATTCTGCTCATTGTTACTTCATAGGGATTTTCAAGCTTTGGTAAAATCCTAATACACTAGACCTGGGACTGGGCCCAAGAATCTGCCTTTCAAACAAGAACTTCCAAAGCTATGCTTTGAGAAACAGTATTCTAATTGCACTTTTTCCCCTTGGGGGTTTTCAAATGGGAAAACTAAAGCTGAGGAAAACCAGTGAACTAGTTGCTGCCTAGTGGATTCCAACTCATGGATGGTGCAAAGTTGGTGACTGAAAGGTTGGAGGTTTGGGCCCACTCAGGACTCAGAAGAGAGGCCTAGCAACCTACTTCTGAAAAACCAATCATTAAAAATGCTTAGGAGCACAGTTGTACGCTAACACACATGGGGTCATCATAAAGCTGAGGAAAAGGCCCTAGGTAATGGCTCAGAGGTGGTGCAGTTGCTGCCCAGCTAGGGGCAGAGCCTAAACCTCAGTGGAGGTGGGAGGGTTTGTACTCACGAGAAGGCAGCTTTGCCCTCCTCCATGTCCTTGCCCTTGGCCCCGGGCCCAGCTTTTCCACACAGGTTAACAGCGATGCACATGAGCAAGCCACACTTGTTCAGGAAGTAGCAGGTGATGTCCACAACCACCAACAGCAGGACAAAGATGACAATGAGGATGCCCACGATGGCGCCAGTGCTCAGCCCTGAGGTGGGGCTGCCATTAGCTTGAGTGGGGGAGAAAGAGAAAGAGAGAGAGAGAACCTATGGTTAACAGACTGAGAAGTGAGATCCCCTTGGGCTCTAGAGAACTACCACCCCTTGGGGATGGGGTAGGACCCATATGACAAAGTCATGGCATTCATGTCCAGCATGCCACCTTCCCTGGGGTCTTACTATGCCCAGGTATTGAGACAAGGTCTCTCTTTATCCTCAAGAGGGGGGATGGCAGCCTCATTTCACAGACCTGGGGACAGGGCAATGAGGTTACCACAATCAGAATGAGAGCAGGGGCTGGAGCCACATCTCCATCTCTGCCCTCTGCCTGGGCCTCCCCGAGATCCACATTCAGCTAGCTGGTCTTCCCATGAACCCTGGAAGCAGGCTGTGCCCAGCCAGTCAGGGTCTGAAGACACTGGGGGATGGGGCAGTTGCAAGAGTAGAGAGTTCTGCTGTGTCTTGCCTGAACCAGTGAGAACAGCTAACAGTTTTGCAGGGTAGGCAGGCAGGCAGTGGTAACTGGTTCCAGGCTGGCCCCTGATTCTTGGGAGCAGTCAGGTGGAGGGTCACTAGTTGGGGGACAGAGCATCCCTAGGGCTTCCTTTGGGCTTGTGGTGACATCAGGCACAACAGGACCCCTCAGTGCACTACTCTACTTCCTCTCCCTCTCTTTAGGAAAAGCTCCAAAGGAGCTCAATATTGGACCACATTGGGTTCATGGCTTATCCTTCTTCAATGCTACCCAGGAAGACGAATGGAGCCTGTGTGACTCTGGAGACAAGGTAGTGTGCCCAGGCCCAGTGGGTAAGGTGAAAGGTCTGGGAATACTCACCATCTGGGAGTGCAGACATGCTTGGATGAGACTTCAGGAAAGCCAGCCACCTCACACAGAGGTGCACACCCACACAGACAGGCATACTCATGCGCAGGACAAACATCCACCACACACGGACACACCCTGTCACATTCAAGCAGTATGCCACATTCCGGATCTGGCTGGGCTCACTTCGAATGACTCTGTCTCTGTCTCTTAATCCCCTGATGTCCATCCATAGCACTCCCAACACTCTGGGCTATGGATAGCATCTCAGAAGCACCTCTGGTGCAGCGCTCTGGGACCCCAAGTGCTCATCTGCATGGTCATGGTGATTGATGTTAGTCATCTTGGATGTGCCTACCACCCCTTGGTGATGCCCACCAACATCTGAGAGATGAACAGTCACAGGGAGGGAGGGAAGAACTGATGTGAGCTCTCTGCATCTCTGCAGATAAGCCAGTGTAGAAACAATGCGCCCAGTCTGAAATCTGGGCATTTCTGATTCATTCTTCTGTAAGGACATGGTTCTAGAACCATCAGCCAGCACTGTTGGAAGCTTCTTGTGCCTTCAGGGCCACAAGGATCACCCAGTTCTGAGAACTAGAGGCATGATCTGTGGCGATTACTTGGATCTTTGCCCCAGCCTGACTCCATATCCAGTCATTATACCTTTGGTGAGTGCCAGGGCCAGGACCAGTGGCCTGGCTGCCACATACCATGCCAGAAAATGGAAGGACAAAGTATCAAGGTAACTGGCATCATTGATAGGCCATGCTCTTTTCTTTTTTCATGTAGTCAATGTTCCCAGGAAACTGCTCTGTTCCAGGGGTCTGCTCAGGTATGGCAGGGCTTCTTCAGTCCCACTCCCCTAGTCTTTATTTCAAACTTCAATTCAGGGTATGGGCTACCAGCTCAGACTCCAGGGATGACCACCCACAACCTATTCCTCATCACTCTGGGCACAAATGGAGGAGCTGGAGGAGTTTTCCCATTTTGTGAATATTTTTGGCCCCTTGGGACCTGGGTCTTCTCTCCCAGCCTTTTCTTCCTCAGGCTCTCTGGCTCAATCCTCCTAACTCTGCATGGAAGACTCAGCCGATTTCCTTAGGAAGTTGTCAAAATTAGCAAGACTATGCTCAGTGGATCCAACTCCAGCCACCTTGTCTCTGGGCTCTGGAGGCAAGAAGCTGGCCACTGGCCCCAATGGTCAGCCAGTAGGTCATTTTGTTAGCAGCCACCGATGCAGAAGTATTTCTGGTTTGTCTCACAAGGCAAAAGCACCTATTAGAGTTCCCATGGACTTCACACATTCCACCCAAAAAGCAATGAGAAAATTACAGGCCTCATGCTCTGGATCTCAAGCTGTTTCCCTGAATAGGAAGACATTTTAGCTTATGCTTCTCATCATTCGGGACAATGTACTCAAGCTGCTATACTGTCATGACATCCGTACCGGATAGGTGTTCAATGCCTACTTCCTGCAGAAGCAGCCTAAAAAAAGTACTTTTTGTGAAGGGGCACATCTGTGTTTTTGGAATCAATGGCCAAGACCACTGACCACTGCTATAATTCTACAGTCTCAGGTTTATATGTGAATATGGTTTTATGGAACTAATCTAAGGAGGAAAAAAAATTATTGAAAAGTGGTTCTATGTGTATGGGAGGCTAGCAGCTAGAACAACTTCTAATCTGGATTCAGCCAACCCAGCCTGGAGCTGTGCTTAGTTTGAAGGCCACACATGATGAGTAAGTTCAGGGTTGGAGGAAAGGGAAGGAGGGTGCAAAGGCTTCAGCTGTGGCATAAAGCAATGGTGGGATACCTAGGGCAGTGATATACCATTTCATATGATATTAAATTTAAATTCTTTGTCTTGGCCTGAAAGCCCTTATATGTGATGTGGCCTCTGTCTACTCCACTGACCATTGCCAGCACTGTCCCTCTATCACTGTGCTCCATGCAGCCAGGATTGCCTTTGTTCTACCTGCTGGCCACCCTCAGTCTATTCCAGCCTCAGGGCCTTGCCTGGAACACTCCATCCTGGGATTGCCCTGGATCTCTTTGTTGTCCTGCAGGGCTCAGCTCATGCGTCACCTTCCCAGAGATGCCTGACCTGACCTCTTATCTAATGAGGCACGCCCACCCAATATCAGCCACATCATCACTTTGTTCCATTTTCTTCATTTCCATGCTTATTATCCGAATGTCCTTAGTATCTAGATTGCACTAGCAGGTACCCAGTCTGCCTTATGTCTCCCCAGCATCTAGGACAAACCTAACTTATAGTAAATGTTCAAAACATATTTGTTGAATGAAAGAATGCAGGGTTAGTCTGGCAATGAGAAAGCTGCCTCCAAATATTTAAAGGTGTGTCCTGAGAAGGAAGAAGGAGTCTTACTCTGTAGCACCAGTGGCTGGAAATTCTGGGGCGGGGCAAATTTCAGCTCCATATGAGAAAGAACAAGCAAAGAGAGCTATTCAAACATAATGTGAGCTACCTTGGTGGGTGAGCTCCCCATTGCTGGAGGCATTCAAACAGAGACTGGACAATCCCTTAGCAGGGATACTGTAATGCTCTGGATGAGACTCTTGCACTGGGCAGGGCCTGGGACAGATGATGTCTTCAAGTCTTTTTTAACCATAAGAGCCTATCATTCCAAGTCAGATGTTTCTACAGTCAGGAATGTTTTCCCTGGAACGTGATTCCCTAATGTCAATTTCCTCCATAGTGTATACTGAGAAGGTGTTTTCCCCTTGCAGGCTAAGATGCTCTGTAGGTCACTGATTAATCATTGATCTTGAGATTTTATTTTTGCATGAAAAATAAATACCCTTTCTCTTAATGCTTCACCACTGGCAGCAGAATTTCTGAAATGGTTTATTAAAAATTCAAATTCTGGGGCTCCCTAATTCTACTGAATCAGAATCTCTAGGAGTGAGGCCCACAAATCAGGACATGAGTGAGTACTCTTGGCATCTCTTGGAAAATGTTACATAAGATACAGGAGATCACCTTTGTCTTTCTGCACACTAGAATGAGGGCCACTGTTCCTGGGTTTGCTGGTCTACTTTTGCATTACAGTGACTAACAGCTGCTCCTATGATCTGCCACCCAAAGATTTCTAATACTTTGTGGAGCACACAGTCATCACATAAAATCAAAACACATTGGTGAGTTCATATGAACTGTTTTTTCCCTTTAATAATGCAAAGGTATAGGCTTCATAAAGACCTCGCTGATTATCTATCTACACAAGGATGAACTGTGCAGTCTCATCTGGTGACCTATACTGGACAGATGGGAGGAAAGCAAAGATATCCCTGAAAGAAAGAGGCACCACCCACTTCATCACTGTTGAGTCTAGAGGAACCGAGATGCTCCTAGAGCTGGAGGGAGAATGCTCATACCTTTTACTAAGAGAAGCTATAAATAAGGGAGCTGCAGGGATATAGATGAAAGGGTATTCAAGTCCAGTCAATGCTCATTATCTCTCTGTGGATGTTACAGAATGTTTAGTTTAGGAAAGCTAGAAGGACAAAGGTGACCTCCTATATCTTATGTAACATTTTTCAAAAGAAAAAAGAACCCCCACCTTCTAGGATCTATCTTTGCCATGATTTTCTTCCTGACCTTATTTGACTAACTTGCCCTGGACCATGCATACAAAGAATGTATCATAGGAGCAGTTCCTTCATAAGCTCAGAGGTCAGCACTGCCCTGAATAGTGAGATTAGGAAGCTTGGGGCTGTCCATCTTCTGTGGTTCCTGGGATGGGAAGGAACAGGCTTGCCCCAAGACTAGGATCTTACGTGCCTCCACTCTTAAATGTTGTACCATAGGTATACAATTCTCCCATTTTACAGATGCCTGGGCGGGTTGAGTCATGGTGCCACTGGACCTTTGGGCAGCAGACCTGACACCTCCCATGCCCGTTGGCCTGGGCTGCTGGGTTCTTAGAACTGTCAGGCTGTTATGTGGTCTTGGTTTACCTGTAAACCCACTACATGTCTGCTTGCTTCTTCCCAGAAGCTGCTAAGCAGATGGCTGGTCTCAGGAGGTATCTAATGAGTAGGCTTACAAACAGGAAATAGTTTGCCAAAGAGAAACTTCTCTCAGATTCTGTGTGTTACAGGATTACTCTGTGCAGCCTCTGCCAGGGAGAGTAAAGGCCGCTGTGAAATCAGGGGACCAT